CTTAAAGATCAAAGAGTGTAGACTAAAAAATATAAACTCAAAACAAATCTTGCATCTTGTCACATTTTATTTCCTTTCTTCACACTAGTAAAATAAGATCACCCAAAGGGCTTGTGTTTTAAAGCTTCCTTTATCTTTAATTCTAAGGATGTGAGTGAACTATAAAAGACAGACAAATCATATAGTAAATATAATAATATATTTATATTAAAAACAGCTAATTTGTTTTTGACCAAACAATATTTTTCAGATAAAGCTATTATCAGACTCAGATATTAAATACAGATCATTTAAACACCCAATAATCTAATAACACTTAATCTGAAAGAAATTATTTTCAACAAAACCACACTGACAATAAACTTTAAATAAATATCATGTGGCTATTTACTTTTCTTGTTGTTTTTTTAATAAATAATCAGATGACTCTCTGTATTAAGTTTTGAAAATTAAATTTTGATGCTTCAAAGTTGAAGAGTTATGTTCATATTTAATATTAATTTGATATTATATGACTTTAACCCTTTCCAGAATGGTCACAGGTGAAAGGCCATGTCATCACGTTTGTTGACTCGCATTCAAAATTTATGTCAATAAGTTTGGTATCAAACTGTAGATTATAATTCAAATTTTAGTATTATACATTACTAAATTTCTTAATTTAAAATTCAATATTAAAAAACACAGTTAAACATAAATTTTTGTGTGTCACATGGTATGTTGAATGCAGCATTGGTTCAAATTAGATGTTTATGATGTCAAAATACTAAGTCTATAGTTTCATACAAATTAGAAACTCAAATTATCGATATTGACAAGCTAGAATATAAAATAAGAGCCTCTTATCTTTTCAATTTGGTAAGATATTGCTCATGTAACAAAACAAACACATTGGCATCCCACCCACCTCTTTCCAATTTTGGAAATGCTCCCTTATATACACCTACCCCTATATATGACATGAATAATCAATTGAAAGCTCAGAATGTCCACCTAGTGGCTTTCTTAGCTATTTTAAAGGATGTCTGAGGATGCCATTGCTTGCTTTAGAAGCAAGATTTCAAGGAGGAAGGTTGTGTCTTTAGTCTGCTCAAAATTTCATATTTTCTTAGACTGAAATACATCTTAAGTTACCAAGTTTGATAAATTATTAGTGGAATTCTATGGTATTAATGTAGTAATTTATGTTTTTTTGGTTATTCAACTGTATATATAAAAAACCTACAAAATAATAATTTTGTTTCATATCCTCCACGTGCAAAATTTTAAAAGGCTGAGCAACCTACGTCAAGCAGCAACTGTGTACAAAGGTTGTAACTAGAAGAGATAATTGTTTGCTTTACTTCTTTATTTACTGTTCTATGTTTAAGAAAAACAAGTTTAAGAACTTATTTTTAAATAGCAATAATATATATACACATATAATATATAATAATTGAAATGTGACTGTATTTTACAAATAGTTGGCCAATTCAAAACACAGCCAAGACAGGTCACTCTGTAAAGACTAAAGGTCAGTTTTATATTATTGGATACTAGGGATGCATGGGTACCCAGCCGGATATTTGGCCCCCGGCCAAGTGTCGAAGTTAAAAACAGCTGAATCCGGATAACTGAAAATGGCATCTAAGCCCTAATCTTTGTGGAAACTTACGCAGTATTGAAAGTAACAGTCAATAATTGGTTTAGTTAAAAAAATTATGTTCTGATCAACAAAGACTGACTGCCTGCTGAAAGTCAGGGATTCAGAGAACAACAGGGGTTAATAACAAGACTGGTTTGAGAAGTGGATTTCTGGGGAAGGTGGGGTTTGAGAACAATATGGGTTAGGAGTTGAGAAGTTGGGGCTAGACATGGAAAGTAAAACTTAAATGTTCTGTTGTTGATTATTTGGTTAAATGTAATAAACATCAATTCTGTTTTTGTTTCTAATTTCTGTGTATGTTGTATACTTTTTTTTGTTCAATGGTTATCATGATTTATGTGTAAGATATAGTTTCATTTATAAGTTACTGATTCTTGTGAGTACAAATCAAGAAGTTTTCTGGTTGATGTCACTGGGCTGAAAGTGATAAAAAATCTTTTCTTCCATCTCTGAACAAACCTGTCTGTTGTGGTAAGGTTGTAATACTCTCCTTGTGATACACTGGAACCACATCACAGTATAACTCGCAGATGTTTCGAGCTGTGCAAAAAAGTCGTACTGCACAAGAAGGAGAACTTTTGATGGCTTCCTGCAAGACTTCGTGCAGCAAATCCAGCACCTTTTTTGTCGATGAGCTAAACAGTGGTCACAAGTATCCATATTAGATTCTACTGAATGTTTTATCAAACATAATTCAATTGTAGCTGTACCATTTACGTTTTTCATATTTACTAAAATGCAGTGCATTTCAATAAATTTCTTACACTGATGGTAGGCCACTGCACAGAAGCTGTAGTGAATACTTATGCACTTATCCAATTCAATCACAATATAACATTCCTCAAAAATCTTCACTTATACCGAACAAGAAAAAATACTTTCTAAAGATATGATTTTAATAATGTTAATATTTAGGATAACACTATCCCAATGAAATAACATAAAGTGAAATTGTCTTTACTTTTCAACATCATCACCAGAACTTACCTAACCTGACATTTTGGAAAGTGGAAAACATTTTTACTAAGATCATGTCTATCTTCTATGCTAGTCAGTTTGTCTTCTTCCTGCATAGCTTTAATTCTGGCTAATTTTGGTAGTGGTTCTGACAGAGCTTCTTTTTCTGGGAGTGTTATAGTGACGTGTAAGTCCTCCTTCATCAGCTTACGAGCACAAACTAAAAGTTCCTTTGGAGAAAAGAAAGTTAAAACATAATTTAAGAGGTAGTGATGGTATTCACAAAAAAGAAAATAGTGGTATTTCAAAATGTTCAACTAAGTTTCAGTAACACAAATTACAGATAATAAATGTTATCATCAACACATTTAGATAATTAGCTATAAATACTTAGTGTATCATCCTCTTGTCTCACACTATGTTCTTAAAACATTATTTTGTACTCTAACAGTATATTTTAAGTTTCTAGATATACGATCCCAACTCTGGACAGAGCCAACTGAAGTTTCTTAGTAAATTCTGGCTTTCAAATTTTGTCATATCACACAAATCAAGAAACATACATATAATTCTTTATCACATCACAGCTTTCAAATGAAATTATTTAGCCATCTACTTAATTAATATATTTCCATGATGTTGGAAATTTTACAAGTTAGCAGAAATCTGAATATTTCAGTGAAATATTCTTCAAAAAAAAACATTCATCACATTAAACTTCACAATAAAACTTTCGTGATGTGTTATATTTATCTCTTTCCAAGACTATATCTTAAAGATACAACTAAAGTATCACTGATGTTTTTTATATTACTGAAAAGGAACAAACCTGACACATTTTGTTTGCAAACAATGAGTCCACATTTCGAGCATACTCTAAAATTGTGGTATTTCCAGCCTCCAGGAAACCGAGTGTTTCTAACTGCACCTGTAGATTAGATGTTAATTCTATTACTTTTGAGTATCCCTCCAGATCCTTGCTGTGACTAGGGATAGCAGGAGAGAGACAATCCTGGATAAGGCAATCACAGAATTCTCTACTGATTTGTTTTCCAAGAAGAGACATCAATGTCTCAGACTTTTCATCTGATTCTTTCTTTACTTGTAACTTCATGAAAGAGCCATATAAAAATTTAAATACTGTATGCAGGTTCTCAAACACTTGAGCAGTCTCAGCATGTTCCTTCTTGTTTACGACAACAACTAAGGTCACACTAGCGTTTGATTTTTCAATCTGTAGATCTACTTGGCAAGAAACTACTATTTCTAACACGTGGGTCATTAAGTTAGTTCCCAATTTCTTCACCTTCTTCTCTAACTCTTTCATGTAATACAAAGCTTGCAGTAAACTTCTAATTTCTTCCAACGTTTTGTTTCCTGATGTCATCAACTTCAGTTCCACTTTGTACGGAAGATCATCTTTAGATTTTGGTACACTCCAGATAATGTGTTGGTTCCAAATTTCTCCTAAGTCATACTTAAGCTTTTCTTTTCTGACCAACTGCTCTGTCTTCATGGCTTGTAAAATATCTACATCTTTTTCACACCCATGTTTGGTCTGAGATATTAGACTTTCAATATGTTGTAAGCTAGTGGCAGCAGATAAGTAGTCCTTCTTTTTTTGTGCTTGTTTTGCGGCCTCAAGAGTTTCATGAATTTCTGCCAACTTTGCAACAATATCCACTAGGACTGAGCTTTCTTCCAACTGCTTTGTCAGTTCTTGATACTCACAAGTTGCATTGTGTAACTGTGGTTTTATCTAAAACAAATCATACAAATAGGACAAGAAAAATCACTCTTCAAAGACTATGGTTTTATATATAAGTTTAAGGAGAAAATGTTATTCAGTACTAAAAATAAAATCTAATCATTTATAAAACCTTCCCAATAATTATCTGTTGTAGCTTTTTAACACCTTTCCAAACATAACTTTTTTGTTTCAGATATTAATTAAATTGATTCAAATACTGATGTTTCAGGTAACTGTGTAAAGCTATACAAGGGTTAACTGTGCTAGACATCTCTAACTTTGAACTGATAAAGAGAAGTGTCAACCTCTAACTCTGACCTTACTCTAGCTAAATAGTGGGATTTGACCATTACTCTTATAACAAACTCAAGGCCACAATGTACAGAGCATGATATTGTAGCAACTGGTCACAAATCATGCTATAAACCACAAGGACAAACTGGAGAAGTGTCAACCTCTAACTCTGATCTTACTCTAGCTAAATAGTGGGATTTAACCATTACTCTTATAACAAACTGATGGCCAAAATGTACAGAGCATGATATTATAGTAACTGGTCACAAATCATGCTATAAACCACAAGGACAAACCAAGGAAGTTCCACATCCTACTATAACATCAACTGAAGAAGTCTTGATTTATTTCTTACATCACTTCTCTTTAACAATACATTTTATTTAGCTACAAATGTAGCAGAGAAATATTTCACCACTCTAGATCCAAGAAAGGTTTAATTTTATCAAATCTGTGTTTCTACATCTTTCTTCTAATTCAAAAAGTCAAAGTATTTTAAATTACTCCTTTACAGATTTTATAGAGTAGCTTAAAATATGAGCTAAGTTGCATCACTAATACAAACATAAGCATCTAAAGTTATTTATTATATTTTTAACTTTTTTTCAATACATACTGTAAAAATTAATCCTGGTGAAATTTCACCATGACTTTACTGAACATTACAACCTACCTCTTTCTCAATCTTTGTTAAAAGCATGTCTGCTTCAGTAGTAGCCTCATTAAGGTGGCTAGATAATTCAACAGTTTCTACAAAATGGGGCAGAAATTCCTTATGTCTTCCCTGAAGAGTCTCTTGCACTTCAAGTTTTATATCTTCTATCCTTTTACTTATTCTTACTATCTTTGCATTTAAGTCGTCTTTTTCAAGCTTTCCTGAAAAAACAAAAACAAGAATTGCTTCTAACATTGTCAAATATGCAAAATCATTACAGTTCAGGGTTTTTTGTATGAAAGTAAGAAGGTACTAACCAACTAAAACAAACAGAAAACTTAAAACAGTAGGACCAAAGAAGGTACTAACCAACTAAAACAAACAGAGAGAACTTATAACAAAACAGTAGGAACAAAGAAGGTACTAACCAATTACAACAACCAGAGAACTTAAAACAGTAGAAACAAAGAAGGTACTAACCATCTAAAACAAACAGAAAACTTAAAACAGTAGGAACAAAGAAGGTACTTACCATCTAAAACAAACAGAGAACTTAAAACAGTATGAACATAGAAGGTATTAGCCAACTAAAACAAACAGAGAACTTAAAACAGTAGGAACATAGAAGGTACTAGCCAACTAAAACAAACAGAGAACTTAAAACAGTATGAACATAGAAGGTACTAGCCAACTAAAACAGAGAACTTAAAACAATCGGAACATCCACACTAAAGTGCAGTTTATCCTTACAATATGTAGTTAATATTGATAATAATCCTTGTTGAAAGACAGTAAAACAAATTTTCAATTTTCAGAACACCAAGTACTGCAGCGAACTTGACAGTTTTCATTTCTTTCTGTAGTAGAAAACTACAACAGAATGAAAGGAAGACTGTTCTGATTAGAGATGCATGCATAGTCCAAATACATCAGAACCTACATTATACGTAAAGTTGACAAAGGTCAGCTATGTATTTGTGGTGATAAATCGTCAGGAGAACTAAAAATAATGATGATTTAGTAGATACATTAATATCTTGTTTTCACTTATTGTAATGTAATGATGCTTAAAGTATAAGCATTATGGTTCAAATTATATTTTTATAGAATTTTAACCTACAAATATGATCTTTTTAACATAAAATTAATCTTGGAATAAATAAAAAAACATGTTCTGTAAATATGAAGATTAAAGATAAACAATAATCTTTGTTCCTAAAGCATAACACAAAACATTTTACTTACCTGCAGAAGACAGCACTTCAGTAACTAAGGAAGACATTTCTTTTATCTCATTATTTAAAACCTAATGAAAAAGGGAGAGTAAATTACATAAGTCCTTTATATGTTGAACTGAGTGTGAAAACTATTACCATTAAAATTATTTAAAGAACTCCACAAATAACTGCCACATCTATGAACAAACATTCTCAGAAAAAGAGCTTAATACAGCAATAGCTGTAAGTTTTAAACAATGATTCAAACTATGTAGTATTTGTTTTACAAACTATCATTATAAGGCACCATAAAGGTTTAAAGGATTGTAGAGGGAAAACATTGAAAAGTTAAGTTCTTATGGAATTCTGAAAGTTATTTAATATTATTTAAAGTAATTTGGGTTAAATAACACAATAATAACTAAATATAATAAGATTGGTAAATAAAAGTAAGATGGTCAAAGTTTTAAGTTACAGTTTAGTGGTGTAAATTATTACTACAATGTAAAATGGGTTTAGTACATGTAATGGTTCTTTAGGCTTAGGTATATTTCAACTTACTGGTAAATTGTCAAACAGGAGATAAATACATTGTTTTATTGAATAAGTACAATTTAAAAACTAGTTTATTGTTTCTTGGAGTTTTAAGGATAAACTTATTTACTTGAACTTAGATCCATTGGTTTAAATTCAGCCTATAGATAGTTATAAATATAAATCAGGCTAAATTAAATACATTTTATTATTAATGTTATGTATATGGTCAGTTCTAATAAGTTATAAAGTTCTATTTTTAAGGTCTATATAATTGAAGATAAACTTTATTACTTTGGTGTGAAGACAAAGTAGTGATAAAAAGTTATATAATTGTTTCTTAAACATTAGGCATAACAGTATTGACTATAGGCTATTGGCATAATTAATTATTTGTAGGCTATAATTAAATATAAATACAATGGTTAAGACTAGTTTAGGAGTTAAGCATTCACAGTTTGTTAGGTGTAATGGGTACAATGAATGGGTTTTATTTGGGAACTCAAGACTGGCATGAACTTTTAAATTTAACTTAAAGGAAGCTAGTAATGAAGATATCCAATTTTTATGTGGAGTTTGTAGGTTGGAAGAGAAGTTGGAGGCTATCATAATTAATGTAGAGTCAATATATAAAGAGAAGTATAGATTGTGGGAAATGGCAGCAGGATTTCAGGAGGAGCTTAAGTTTTAGATTCAAGGGATACATCAGCTAATAATGAGTTTCAGAAAGTTATAAAGAGTACTATTAGTATTAGAGTAAAAAGTAGTGAACCCATTCTGTTAAGCAACAAATTTCAGCCCTTGATTTCTGCAGATGGGGAAGTATTGGAGGGAAAGAAAAAAAAATGAAAAGGATATGCATGATATTGTTATGACAGTGAAAGTCACGTGATGCTTGTAACACGTCATGATATTCTCGAAGTATCTTGACTTTTCCTGGCAACTCTAGTCTTTTCTAGGCATCCTCTTTTATTGTATTTAAGCCCGACAAATAAAGCGGAGACAGAAGGGCAGATAGACAGACATAGAGACAGATAATTGAGTCAAGCAAGCGGTAGTGACCGTAAGTAAAGTGCATGAATCGTTGTGAATTATAGCGTGTGTTTAAGTTAAAGTGACTGTGGAAATTCTGTGTATTGCAAAGTTGTATTGAGAAAGAATAAACTAGTTTTATTTAAGAAAAGATTTGTATCACTGAAGTTTCTGGGAAAGAATTTCTACGGAAAATTAACAAATGACCAGAGACGTAACAAATTGGTGTCAGAGAGTGGGATTTAAAAAAAAGAAAAAGAAGATGGAAATGAGAAGTGGCAAATCAAACTACAGCTTAGCAGATTTGATGGCAGCAATACAAGTACAGCAAGAGAAACAAGAAGAAAAACAGCAGCAGTGGCAAGAAAACCTGCAACAGTGGCATTTCAAACAGCAAAATAAATAACATGATAGACTACAGCAGTTGTTGGAGGAAAAAGAAAAGAAACAAGAAGAGAGACAGCAGCAGTGGCAGCTCGAACAGCAAAATAAACAAGAGAGACTACAGCAGTTGTTGGAGGAAAAAAAGAAAAAGAAAAGAAACAAGATGAGAAAGTACAGCAGTGGTTGGAGGAGAAAGAAAAGAAACAAGAAGAAAGTCTCCTACAATTTAGAGAAAGCCAGCATACACAAATGGAAAAGATTAGTAAATTTCAAAGTGAATTAAATACATTAAAGAATGATTTATTGTCTTTTACACAAGGAGTATATATTAGCCATCAACCTAATCAGCCCCAGACCCCGCAGCTAAACCCTAATGCAGGGGTGATCTAGTACAAAGGAAGTCACAGGAATTTGACGGGAAGGCACCATGGGAAGCATATAGAGCACAATTTGAGCTCCTAGCAGAAATGAATGGATGGACAGAGGAGCAGAAGGCAGTGTACCTGGCAACGAGCTTGAAGGGACAACCACTGGAAATACTTGGACAGTTGTCAGCAGACGACAGGCACAACTATAGAGCACTGGTAGCTGCTCTAGAACTCAGGTATGGAACCCAAAATCAGTCCGAAGTCTACAGGGCTAGGTTTAGGACGAGAATCTGTGCTAAAGGGGAGAGCCTGCAAGAGCTGGCACAAGACATGGGAAGTATGGCACACAAGGCCTACCCAACTGCACCACCCGATCTCCTCAAGTTGTTGCTGAGGGATCAGTTTGTAGATGCCTTGGACAGTCCAAAACTGAAGATACAAGTAAAGCAAGCACAACCCTGTACTATGCAGGATGCAATGGCCAGAGTTCTTGAATTTGATTCCTATGTTAATTCCAGCACAGAAGTACCAAGGTTGGTACAGTCATCAGGATTCAAGGCCAGAAAAGGTCAGCTTTCAGATAGGTTTGAGGGACTTTGCTGGCACTGTAACAAACCTGGGCACAAGAAAGCTCAATGCCAGCAACTTCAAAACAGGGAAGATGCCACTGCAGGAAAGGCTGCTACCCAGAAAGGTTGTTGGAAATGTGGAGAGCAAAGACATATGAGGAGCCAGTGTAAAAAGAATGCAACCAATAAGTCAGCCTCGGGGAAACCAGTAGTGGTTCGTGTTGAGGAATGCCCACCAACCCCC